ATCGGGTTCCATTGCAGGCTGTCCTAAACTCCAGATTTTTTTAAATTTTATTGGGTTTTTTTTGTTTTAAATCGCCTCTAAGCACATTCTCAATATCATAAAAATTAACAAATTGGTCCTAGCAATACTGGGGGAAAGACTGTATTGGTACATGAATATTTGTTTGCCCTAGAATACACAAACGTTTCAATCAACATAACAGAAGCTTCATCAAGGATACACTTGCACAAACAGGAATCATCAAACCTGCGAGGGCTGCAGACCACCACTCTCAGGCTGACTAGCTTGTATTTTGCCTTTGCTTTGCTAAGGGATTCTATTTACCTCTCAACGAATATATTATACCTATCTCCAAATATTTGTGACTCGTAAATCTTCACCCCTTGCTTTGTTCAAGAACTACCCTCCTATCTCCAAGCATCCTTAGCAAATATGTGTTTTATACTCCTTAATTTATACACTTAAGACCCCAAGGAGTGAGATCTTTGAGTATAAACCAGCTGACCACTGCAGCCCCACAGACCACTCTGGTTTCTGCAGGCCCCAGGGGTGCTGGGCAGAAAAACTACACCTGCTTTCTGGGAAACCCAGCAAGACAGTGAAGTGCCCATGCCTTCCTGCTTTCACCCCCAATGTGTGCTAGAGGGCCATAAAAAACCATGGGAAAAATACCAGAGAAAAGAAGAAAACAAAAGTACACAAATCCGACATCCTCATGGATATATGCAGGCAATACTTAAACCATAAGCTATTAAAAAAGCCATGTAGATATTTGCTCTCTGTATTTTTGAAGCCTGTTTCCCACCCTTTGCACAGATAAAACCATCCAGTTAAAATACCCATGCGCTTCTCAAATCAAATCCTAGGTGATTTGATTTGAACTGAAAAACTTGGTAACACTCTCGCTAATAACCACACAGGACTCCACGGAACCCAACAAGCAAATTTTAAAAAAAATTAAATAAAACACCACTTAAAAGTAAGAAAATGATAATTTTCTATGCAGAGCCTTTTAAAGCCTGGCTTGAAACGCTATCAGACATTTATGCCTCAAATTTTGCAAAAAGCTTATCAGGTAGTACAAGGGTGACCTGACCCACATATAGACAACGCAAATACAAGTCCCTTCCAAAACAAACCGAACCTGTGAAGTTATTTTCAAGTTATCAAAGCATTGCCAGTAAACATGAAATCTCATTTAATATTTCACAGTTACTTTCTGGGTATTTATTTTCTTTATTCAATCAAGAGTTACTTGACAGATGTAACCAACAACCTACTGCTGGTTCTACATTAAATCCTTAAGCTGTTCTCTGGGGTTTTTTTGTCTGCTTAAAAATATGTAAGGTCATTTGCAAAGGCTCCCTTTGGAGATAAAAGAATAAATCCTTGATGTCTGGAAAAACATTCAAGACAAAAAAAAAAAAAAGTTAAATTACTAGCTCTTTTTAACATCAGTCATTACACACACTACATTTCTAAATAAACCTGACTACTCGTGCCCTGTTCACAAAACAAAACCAGATGTTTCAGATCATGAAATATAGACTCTGTTTTATAATTAAGTAGAAGTGAAAATATGTAGAACAGGCATCACTGGTTGCTTCCAAGGGATGAAGTTCTGGCAGAAAAAGACAACAGCAGGCTTAGGAGTACAAAGGTGAAGCTACAGTGATTTCCCATTTATATAAATAACTGCACAGGCTGAGTTAGAAAGCTAGTTTATAAGGTACATGGCTTGGGCTTTTTTAGAGAAGGGCTCAGGTTTATTATGCACTTTCACCTGTATAGAAACTTCCAATGCCAGCAAACTGTGTCTTTCTTACCTACCCATTGTTTCCCTGGTGACTTTTTAAAGGAAGCAAACATGCAGTGAAAACTGAATGTAAAAAAAAAAAAAAAAGAAAAAAAGAAAAATTAAGAGCCTGTCTACAGAGAGCCTCTCGCAAAATACTATTATAAGTTCTAAGACCAACAGGACAAGCACAGATACGATCCAGCTAAAATAAAGTCACTCAGTGAAAGGTAACTGTGTATCCTTTTACTGACAAATGCAAATCAACAAGATCAGTTACAGTAACTGGTGTTCAACTATTTTTGTTTGGATGTGCATAAGAATAATTTCATGGTGCATGAGAATAATATCATTGTGAACTGACTAACAATGTGTCTACCATGTGAAATTAAAGAATGCTCATAAACTAGCCTTGGTGAAAGTGGGGTTTCTTTTCTACGGGAAGGGAATTTTTAGCCTTGCTTTTGACTAGATACAGTAAATGAAAAAGAAGTTACTTCTGCATTTTATGAACAGTGAAGAGTTACAAACTTAACAATGCTATGAGATACTGGTCCTACAGAAGGAACCTCCAGCAGAAATCAAACCAGGAAATAAGGAGTCAGTTCTTGACTACTCAGAGCCATACTTCACCTCACTTCTGAATTCAGGAGAGAGTCGTCTGTAGCTAAACTTGATGAATGAGCAAAACGGGGCTGAAGTTGTAAGTTTCAAAGCCTGATATTAACAGCATCTGATTTAGTTCACAAACACACCAAACAGCTCACTCAAGACTTTTAGCTAGCACCTTCTGAAAAATTGTACTCATTTCTGAAAGCTACTCTTTCCGGAAAGAAGAAACAAAAAAAAAAAAAAAAAAGAAAGAAAAAAAGAAAGAGGCTGAGCATTGAAATAAGCAGCTTGTGGCTGCAGCACGTGCCCGGGGAAGGAGCACAGCCCGTTCACACTACCGGGAGCTCAGCGCTGTGCGATTTTCCTCCCCTCCCTGTCACCCCGCGCTCCACACCACCGCTCTCCCTGCGAGCCGACACCTTCCAGCGGCAAAGCGCTGCTCCTAAGGGCAGCAGAAACGCTGCCTATTAACAAAAACCTTCATCCTCTCAGTGTTATAAGGCGACCCGTGTCATTCTACTTCTCAAAGAAAACTTTTGCCCAAGCGCGGCCGCACACACACCCC